TTGATACCAGTTTCCAGGTGCAGAGTGGCAGCTTTTAATCACAGAGCCATTACAAAACAGAGGTTCTACTGACGAGAAGACTTTGGAAGATCACTGCCCTCCTGTATATTGATACATGTGAAAAGCTTCGCAGGGAATCGCTTCTCTCTGAAGTGTCCTTCCCGTGAGATCGAAACCACGAAGGCAGATGAGTCCACTCTTCAAAACCTCCTGCTGTGACCCACTGCCATGAGCCCCTTCCCAGGGGCCACACACTGCCCTCATGCAGCTGTATCCTGACTCCAAAACCTCACCTGTGCTGGACCACACCAGCTCTGTCAGGACAGGCAGAACAAGCAAAGCAAGAGAGCAGAAAAGCCAGAGTTTTGCTTCACTATCCACAACTCCCAGTTTTTTGGGCCCAATTTGGGCCCCATCCCTTTTCCGAGCAGCAGTTCTGTACTTGTTCAAAGCAACCAACCAGCAGAACCAGTGATGGCTATAGTTCACCTAATGCCTGGATATGCACATTACTGATCAATCAAGGACATGAAACCAACCTAACAAAGTTAACTGATAAAGTCTAAGGGAGAGCAGACGAAGCACAAAGTATAATAAACAAACTGAGAACGTGATTTAAAAGTTTATCCACGTGGCCTCACTCAGTGCCCAGTGTGTCAAGATGGTCACACTTCAACTACCAACTCATCCAACAGAAAAAGGAAACCTGTTCCCAAATCCAATGTCATCAATGAAAACACTTATAAAAAAAGCTACTCACGCCAGTGTCATGTTGTTGCTTGGGTCCAGCCCGACCTCGATGACCGTGGTCCCCTCTATATCCACCTCCTTGCAGGGGGTGGTGTTTCTCCCAGTGACTCTGCAGGCCTGGTAGAACCCGTGCGGCTTCACGCGCCCGGAGTCGTTCCCCACAAACACCTGCAGCACCACCGGCTCGTTGTGACCCTCCAGCTGAAACAGGCCAGTGGTTCATTAACATGGAGGGATTTCTTTAATTATTATTGCTAATATTTTGGTTTTAAACCACCTTTTATCCTATCTATCTTCAGGCAGAATTCTCCCAGCTGCAACTCTCATGTCTCTTACGACCCCTCACTCTCACCCCAACCATGACTATTCCCCCATCTCTTGCCAGGATTCTCCGCTTCCCCCCATGTATCTACGTCCACCAGCCAGCCCAGAAACAAAACATTTGCTGGGGTTGCTTCCAAAGGTGACGAGAATTTGCTGGTCAATATGTGCATGCCCATTAACCACAGGCATTCCAGAATCCCACCTTCACACCAGATGCACCTTGAAATCCTTGTGAAACCCCATTAAAACTGTCCAACGTTTGCAAAACCACCGGAAAAGTCAGAACAGGATGAAGGGGAAGCAGAGTTAAGAATGGGACGATCCAACTGCACAAACTCAGCTTTCTCTAAGACACCAAAATAAAATTAAAAAGGGTAATTTCACATCTCCTACTTTAAGTTTATGAACAGTGTCAGAGTTTGCTGAAACACTTCATAAGTAAAAGCAGGTCAGATATTTTAACATCCTCCTGCAATCTCATTTGAAAGCCATAATTATTCCAGAACATGTTAGTGAAAAATACATTCATAAAATACATTCATGAAATATTTGTGTCCTTTCAGTGCTTTTTTTATTAGTGGGATTCCTCTGTGGTGCCACAGACTAAAAATACTCTGAGGTAAAAAGAAGTTTTGAAGTAAATCTGGACATTGCATTTCAAAGGAACCTTTCCTTCTTTTTAGGAAATGGTTAAGAAAAATACTCCAAGTAAAAAGAAACTTTAGATTTCTGACAAATTCCCAGGCCAGAGATGAAACTCCTCTACCAGAGAATTCTAGGAGGAGATAAAATGACTATTTTAATGTTTCCACTTCGACACATTTGTTGCTTGAGGATTTCTGGGTGATAGTGCTGCCTTTTGTCCCAGGCCTGGAAGTCAAGGCAACACCTGCAAGAAAGCAGCTCCATTTTTATTAGCAAGGAGATGCAAATGAGAGCAGAGTCCTCTGGAGGATCTCCTGGGGGATTAGTCCCTGAATACACTCTCAGAAAACACAGTTCTGCAGTTGCTAACAAGTTTGAATAAAAGAAAAAAAAAAATCAGCAAACACTGATAAAATCATCGTCTGCCCCTCAAGTCCAGGAGGGGCAAACAACAAATGTGAGTGTTACAGACAGGCAAAGCCAAAAGATCTCTGGAGGTGGCCCAGCACAGGCTCCCAAGAGAACCACAGGAACAGAAAAGGGCTCAACAGCTATTCACTTGACTACGGTTTGTTTATACAACTTTAACGTTGCATATTGATTGTGGAACTCAAGTTCCAAGTTGTCAAGAACAGAGTTTTATTTCAGTAGCCACAGAACTTGCTTCTCCCCCTCAGTCTGTGTAAGAGCGATGCACTGGAGCGGCTCCCAAACACCAGATCTCTGAACCACCGTTCACTATTCACCACACTATTCCTCCTCATCTTTAAACCCCATGAACAAAACAAAAAGCCCTCTTGTCCTTAACATATTTTTTTCCCCACTAGCTCAGATTTCCTGAAGACTCACTGACTCATCTGCCTGTGCAGCTCTGGCAGAGTTTTATCTGCAGGGTATGAACTCGTCTGCCTACTGGTAAAGCAAACTGGAACTTCCAGGAATTCAGCAACACGAGACTCTTCCAAACAGATTTTTCACTGATGGGTGCTAAAGGGTAACTGGGAAAGGAATTAAAAGGAAATTCAGATGAACAAAGGCCCATTAAGAAAATCCACATAAATGAGCACTAAATCCCCATAGCAACAGGCCAATATGAAAGGATTCTTTTCTTATGAAACTTTACTGGAGTTGTGCATTACTCGGGGGGACTGAGTGAAGGGCTGGTGGGGTTTCTAACACTGCTGAACAGGACTTTGAAGATAACTCTACTTCTATATTCTGTCAGCAGTGGACAGCACAAATTTAAGGGCTGTATCACAAACATTTCTTTGTGAACCTTGTAAATTAGTCTGGATTGAGAAATGCTTATCTATCACTGCCTTGACATAAAACTTCCCTCCTCCAATAACTCTGTGATGCCAGTAGGACTTTTTGTGACCTGCAAGAGGCCCAGTACAGTCTTTACAGCAGAGAGACTGCAAAGTCTTAAGAAGAGAGACTGGAGGCCTGCTTGAACTGAACCTGCTCCCATTCCATTAGAGCACCCCTGGGAAGGGTGTCCCCAGGCTCTCAGCCTACCTTCACCGTGGGAAAGCCCTGCTGTGTCCGGTCCTTGACGGAGCCCCGGCTGCCCTCGGTCAGATAACGAGCCCTGTGCTGGGTCTCCGGCTGCACCACAATCTTCAGTTCCTTCCCCTCACTCTTAGTTGGATACTGACCACACAACATTGGGGTCTTCTTCCCTCCAGCTCCCTTCTGGTTCTCTGATGCTCTGGGAAGTCAAAGCAGACCATGAAGAAGACATTAGAAACGGCTCCCCAGTTAAAACAAACCAAATGACAGAAAAGCTAAAAGGACAAAGAGTGTGTATTAATGGATGGAAGATTTGTAGTTGAGAGCCAACTTTGGAATTCTCTTTTCGACAGTGAAGGAAACCTGCAGGATGAAGAGGAACGGTGCTTCCCTGCTCCTCCATCCAGAGCACATGGGGACTGCTTTTCAGAGAGCAAGCGTAAAGGAAGGGAAAAGTAATTAGCATTAAACGATGTTAATGAACAGAAGGCGGATCATAACCTGCTTTTTCATAGTCTATGATACAGCTTGAACAAGCTGTTTCACTGCTGTAACACACACACGCATGTACACACACATGGAATGGATTTGAGGTTAAATGGCACTTCTTTAAACAGGAAAACAGCCTCATGCCTGTCTCCACTTGCACATCCATGCAAACTCCAACTCTTATTTCTGTCAAAACAGGTTGATAAATTTATGTGGTAACCCAATCAGTTATTGTAAAAGCTCTGACATAATTGCACCAAAGTTAAATCAGTGTATGCACAAGGCCTGTCTTTCCAGGTGCATTTCATAGGACATCGTGTCTTGTGCTCAGTTCCATAATTAAAACTGGGATGAAGGAGTTCTCCAAAGTCTAACAGTACATAAGCCATCATGTATTCCCTTATACCAAGATTTGGTCATGAACCTGAAGTCCAATAACCTCCTTTCACACTAGGAAATGCGAATGTGCCACGGCACACGGCACAGGCAGGAAAAGGGCTCCATGATTTACGCAAATGTCATATTCATTTTACTACCAAAAAGGGGTTTCCAACAGCTAATGCCTGTGAAGAAAGCAGCTTTATATAACAGGTGTGAATTGCTTAAAAAACAAATCCTTTTTCAATGTGCAACTTACGGAAGTAATTTACTCAGGATTTTTTTCCTTCTCAAACAGGGTGAAAAATGCTTTTTCTTTAAAATTATTTACTGGCAGCTTTGCCACTGTATGAGGTTCTCACTGACCTGGAGCTGGGGTAACCCAGCTCTCTTCCCAATGATTTACACTAACAAACAGGATCAGCACCTTTCCTAAAGCTCCTGCTGTGCAAGGGCCAGCACATGGACACAGAGTAGGATTCCCAGTCATTCCCAGCCCTGCTCCTATGCCCTGGGGAAGGCTGGGTACACCTATGCCCCCCCCATTCCCCCACATCTGGTAACTCTGAAAGTCATGGAATTATACAACAGTTTTGTTTGGAAGTGACCTTTAGACATCATGTAGTCAACACCTCACCATGAGCAGGGACACTTTCCACTATTCCAGGTTGCTCCAAGCCCTGTCCAATCCGGCCTTGGACACTTCCAGGGATGGGGCAGCCACAGCCTCTCTGGGCAACCTGTGCCAGGGCCTCACCACACGCCTTGTAAAAAAGTTCTTCCATTTATCTACTCTAAATCAACCCTCTCTCAGTTCAAAACCATTGCTCTTTGCCTACAGCAACAGGTCCTATTTGTCACACTCCTCTTTCCACTGAGCCTTCCAAAACCTTCCAATGCACACAACAAAGGGTTAAAACAGACAGAGCTCAGTGCTTGGAATGATTTCCATTCCCATTTTTCTGTCCATGAAGGTTAACCACTTCAACTTAAGATGGCCCAGTGAGCCTCCTCCTGCTCACCCAGCTGAGCCCAGCCATAGCCCTGGCTGCCCTCCAAACTCATCCTCAACCCACCAAAGAGAGGCAGGATCTAGATCAAAACTGGTGTAAATCTCTGCAAGATAATTAATACCATCTTACAGTAAAACCATCTTCCTGCCAAGGAGTCGTGATTACTCAGTTTGGTGCAGTCACACAGGCTGCTTGAAAACATAAATATGCCATGCAAAAACATACCTTCCTTTGGGAAAAGGGACAAAATTGTCCTTCAATGCAGCACATGGAAAACCTGTGATACACTAAATAAACTGTAATTAACACCATCATGCCCTTTGCTTCTGTACAAGTTAAGGGAAAACTCTAATGACATTCAAACTCGTTAGACAATCAGTTTCTATCCTCTTGTCAGGACAACCCTCCAATAGACTAGTATTTACAAGGAATACATTTACCAATTTTCAGTCAATATATTTTCATTTTTATTACTCAGAATTATTTTTTAAAATAAACACCTCAGCTTCTCACAGGGAAAGCAAGAAAGAATGCTGGGCAGCCTCAACCATGGCAACACCACAGCATCCTTCCAAATGCCAGGCCTGGGAGCCAGAGGACACCTCGGCACAGGGAACGCTCCATGGAAAACACCACAGGCATTGCTCACTCTGACCCTGTCACACCTGGAAGTTCCAGCTCTGTACACTAATAGGGAAGGCTGTGGTATAGTTGAGTTTTGAAGGGAAGCATTGGAGAGCCAAAATGAAATCCAATCATCAAAATGAAATCCACCTTTACACTCAAAATGTCATGTTTTAGCAGCGTGACATTAACACTGTGGTCTCTCCAAGAGTACTTTACTCATAAATCCCAATTACCTTAATTGTCAACATACTGTTTTATATATTATCATATTTAAGCAAAGAGATGCTCCCCACAATTATTTTAAAGTCTTTCCTCTGGAAAATTAATCATTACTTTCAATCAGATTAGCTGAACCTGAGAGCCATTTAAAGCCTTCACCAGGGCTACTCAGTGGTCTTTCTTCTCAGATTACAAGGATTTATAATTTATACATCCTTTTAATTCAGTTTATCCACATTGCTAATATTCACAGCTGTACAAAACATTTCATACACACACATTTATTGATTTATCTGTTACCAAACAATGTCTCCTCTAATCTACCACTTCTTTTTTTTTGTAAGAAAATATATATAACTGGCAAATCCCAAGGCCATCGGAACAGATCTCCCTGACTTGAGTTTGGTCTGGTCCTGCCCTGCCCTCAGGGCTGTTCCCAGGGCAGAGCTGAAAGCGAAAGTGAGACCAAGCGCATCAGAAACCTGAGCCCCTGCCCTAAATCACCATCAATTCATCCCTTCTAAAAAGGCCTTCACAAATTCCAAGTTTCCACAGGAATATATTCTTTCTCTTCCTGGCCTTGAAAGACAACTGCGTAGAAAAGTCTCTTTAGAGGCAAATGCCATTTCCATTCCCCACGGAACACAGCTGCTCTCCTTGCCCTGTTCTGAAAGCCAAAAGTAACTGAACTCCCTTGGCCCAACTCCACCAGCCTGGGAAGTTTAACCCCCCTGTCACTACGGTGACCCAGATTTGTAATGCCAAATCTCCATATTCCAATGGCAAAATGAAGGTTTCTAAGATCTTGGCCACCTCCTACCCCAGAGCCTTCATTTCAAGGAACAATTCGGTTACCTAAGAGTTCTCCTGCAGTTCAGTCTGGCCTGTGTAAGGAAAAGAAGTCTGCTTTCTGCCCTCTGCATTCACAGAACTGAGGGCTGCTCATTGCTCACCCCTGATGTTTTCAGGGACGTTACAGACTTGTTCTGTTTTTAGACTGATGTATCATTCCAGAGTTTACTACATCTCCCTTTTCTGCCCTGAAATCATATTTACAATAGCACAGCTCTTGACTTTCCATAAAGCTTTTCCCTGTGTAAGGGAGAGCCTGGTCCTCGGGAGCTGGGGGAGGCAATTTCCTCATTCCAAGCTTCCTGGGCTCTACCAGGTACTAATATTTTATTTTATTTTATTATCATCTATTTTGGCCGGTGAAAAACAGAGCAGCCAAGGATAGAGCGGTGCCTGTGTGGAGACCCCAGAAAACCCCAAGCAGAGCCAACATTCCCATCCAGCTCTACTCCTCCTGCTGAGCCTGGGGAAGCACCAGCACACTCAGGAAAGGTTCTTGGAATTGTTTTCTCACAGTGAAATTTTAAGTATGGAACTGCACTGACCCTGGGAACACAGACTCCAGGCTCTTTCCCTTTGGAATGTGAGAAGTTCATCATCTTTGCCATCAGTCAAATTTTAATATTCCCCGTTGCTGTGATGAACATCAGAACGTACTGCAAGCACAGACATAAAAGTAAAAACAAAATACATTCCTGCCCCCAAAAAAGCATAAAATAAAAGAGCCAAAGCTATCAATTTGACCATCTTTAAAGTACTAAAAAAGCAACAAGCTAAAAAATAAAAAAAAAAGAAGAAATGTATCAGCACACTCTTGCAAACTGATGGATTTTTCCTCTTTAAGCAGCTACTGAAATGCATTTAGTGAACACTGTGAAGTGGGAGATGAGAGGCCACCACCCAGGTGTGCCCACGCAGACACATGCACACGACCCAAAAGCACAGAGAGAAACAGGATTAGAGATTTATTTCTGAAAAAATCAAATACAGAAGTGAATTCACAAGGCAAAACCAAAACCTGGTTCCCCATATTTGTCTTAACATTTCATTAAAAAGTAAAGGACATGTTAATTTAAATTATGAGAAATCCTAATGAGCCATTAACTTCTACTCCCATCCCTCTCTCTATTTGATAACTAAAGAGACAAACAGAAGCAGGTGAAGTGTACAGACTGAAATCCTCACATAAAATCCTGCAAAAAAGCATTCATATTTAGGGTGCGCCCACTTCACTCTGCCTTTTTTTATAAATACATTTTCACCGCTATTTTATAAATGGAATTGTGTGGCCTTTCGGGAATTTCACTTTAAGAACACAGATGAGCTCATCAGTGCTGCCTTTAATTGCTGCAGGGATGTTTAGCTTTATCTTCTAAATAAAGATTAACAAGTCTAATGAGAACCTAGCACAGAATTAAGGAATGGTTTGGGTTGGAAGGAACTTTAAAGAGATCCAGTTCCACCCCCCTGCCATGGGCAGGGACACCTTCCACTAGGCCATGTTGCTCCACGCCCAATCCAACCTGGCCTTGGACACTTCCAGGGGTGGGGCAGCCACAGCTTTGAGGTGAAAGAAGAACTTATGCTGGGCTAGGCCACGGCAGGGACAGCAGAGAAGGGACGGGGTTTATGTGAGAACCTGAGCAGAACACTGGCCAGGGCACAAGGAGACTTTTATTAGTTTGGGTTTACATATGGAGATAGAACTGTTTTCCTTAAAAAAAAAACAAAACAAAAAAAAGCAGATACCAACCCATTTCCTGCTTTTGAGTTGCCTTTGCTGTCCGTGCTGAGCTGAGAAAGGACATAGTGAGGCGCTTTGGCACTGTCGGCATCAAAGATATCCATGTTGGACTCTTCACAATCTCGGCGTTTGATCCCTGGCCTCTGCTTTGGGTTGCGTTTGCGCGATTTACGTGGCACCTCAGTGTTATCATTGTAGGAACTGGTACTCATGTTACTGAAGTTGGAGGGTGAATCCTCCATCCACATACTGCAGCTCTGTTCTGACTCCAGCGCACAGCCCTCATCCTGGCAGGACATCCGACTGTTGTCCAGCAGGTCCTCGGGTGGTGGCGAGATGTACAGGACTGTGTGGCGCCGCGGCGTTGACTGGTGCTGCTGGGCTGTGTTACTGGTTATCTGCTGGTCACTTACCCCTCGGGTACTTACCCCCACGGCTGAGGAGCAGCTCTCCACTTGCATAGCCTTGCTGTCGGTGACTGAGGTAGAGTAAATGGTAGGACTGGAAGAGGTGGTAAAGGAGCTGCAAGCACCGCCCATGGAGGAAGAGGAAGGAGCTGAAGAAGCATCTGCGGTGTACAATTCACAAGTAAATACCGGAGCCGCGGCGGGGGCTGTGCTGGCTATAGCAGTCCCAGAGAAATCAAGGTGATTTAGGAACCGATTGCTTTCCCCCAAGAAATGTTTGGAATTTGGTTACGTTTTAGAATGGAGGTGCTTAAAGCAACACGGCCTAGCCAATGCTTTGGAAATGTCCAAACGAGTCTTAGCACGATCCACTGTAATCAAATTTTTTATGACTTAATGTTAATTTGTACAAATGGCTGCGAGTAAACAGAGCTTTCATCGCCTCAGCTGGACTAATTATTGGTGTAGAAGCCATTTCATCTAAAATAGCCCCAAAGCAAAATGCTTATAAATCCACATTCAATGCCAATTAAACCATTTATTGTTGGAAATTTTTAAATTTTTTCTTTTTTTTTTGAAAAAGACGGGACTGTGCTTAGCCACAAAATATTAAAATAAGTTTCTAACCTATGAAGCAGAGAACTACAGGTCATTTTTAATGCAGACACTCCCTGCTTCAGAGGCAAATCCTGGAATAAAAATATGAGAAAATAAATGAGAAAAAGAGCTGCTGATTATTCCATCATAAATGAGAAATAAAATATAAAATCAACTGAGTTGGTAGGCAAAATGGAACTGGTATCAGTCACTATGAGTGAGCTGTGGATTGTGAAGGTTCAAAACAGGGCTGAAATATCTGCGTTGGTGACACGCTGATCCAAGGACAGGGAAAATTTCTGTAATTTGACTTTTCCAGTCACTGAGACTGATTTCTCTCAGACTTTAACAGTCCCTTACAAAGAGACAGCTTGGGACAGACCTCTGAAAAATTCCTGTTAAGCAGGAGATTTCCAACACCATGTGAAAGTCTCCAGAGGTCTCACAGCTCAATCTGGTTTAGAAACATCAAAATTATCAAAACAAACCCCTGAAGGTTTCTGGAGAACACCATAACTGTTGCCAAGGAAGAAATTTAATGGACAAATCAACTGAACACATGGGTTAAACACTCCAGAGGAAGCAGAATGGGACAAATGTAGGGCTTTATTTATTTATTTCAATCAGCTGTAGCTCACTGAGGAATAACTGAACTGAATTTTTTAGTCAGATTTCAGCTTCCTGGGGGCAGATCATCCTGGTTTATGTATTTCTGCACTGCTGCCCACACCTGATAAACCAGAACCACTGAAATAACCTAATTTTGGAACACACTGTACATTAAATATATACATAACTATACAATGTGTTTGTTCAGCTAGTTACTGCTGTCAGGCAGGTAATCCCTGTTATTAAGAAGAATATGACATTTTTCCTTTTTGCTGCATGGATTTTTTTAAAATCCAAAATACTATGTTAAACTCTCTAGTCTAAAAGGTTTAGGGACAGTCAGACTATTTCATCCCATTTTACTAAGTTAATAGTAGCAGAATAAAGTATTTTCAGCCACTATATATATTTAGTTAACAGTAAAACTCAGCCAACCTTCCCATAAATCCACCTACTTGGAACTACTGGGGGTATCAATGACTGATGATAAAGAATTTTTAAACTATTACTGGTTTTTACAGCTTTTCAGTGCTAAATGAATGTAAAAGCAAACCTACATCACTCCAGACTGTAAAATGTAGTGGCCATGACAGTTTATCGAAAAACTATTCTGCTTTTATCACCTTTCCCAAACCTCCCAGTGAACCAGGAGCAGCTGAATGATACCAGTTCCATTTCCCAGTTTGTTTTTTTGGCAAATACAGTGGCTGAAATTGGACAATTCAGTCACTTTGCATTCCAATTTAAAGGCAAATTTCTCCTTTCTATATCATGCATTAATGCAATGCTTCTTTCAAAAACACTTATAGGATTGGCAGGAACTATTAAATCTAGATATTCATTTCAGTTACAATATTTAGGAGCTGATTTGCAGCCACTTTGAGTTGAGAAAGCCCGTTGCTATTGGGGATGTTTGTTTTGGTAAACTGAATTAGTTTCCATTCATCATTGACACCCTCAAAGAGAACCAGAACATGTTCTGCATGGAACAGGCACAGCAAGCACTGAGCTCACCCCGCTCAGCAAGTGCTTCAATGCATCTCCTGGCCAGGATTGCACTTTTCCCTCACTTTCCTAGGGGAAAAAATAAATACATCACTAAATAAAATGCTTTTGAGCACAAAGCTAAAAGAGCTCATGATGGCAGTGCTGTTTTAGGGTGCAGCATTGTGCAACATTGAAAGTGTTACCATTACCTCTCTCCAAAACAGTTTCTCCTCCTTTTTTTTTTTTCCCTAGAAGCTAAGAAGATTTTATGTGTATGAATATGTGTATGTGGGTTTTTATACTTTTTAAAATTAAATAAACATTGTCCATTATATACTGGTTACGCTATTCTCCATTTACCAGAGATACCCCTGTGGAATGACAAGGTTAGATTATGGCAATAATCCCGAATTAAACAGTAATGGCAAGGAAACCTCTCTATAATAAAGTACTGCCATTACCAGCCATAAATATGCAAGTGTTTTAAGGAATGTACAGGTCAGTGTATCCTCAATTAAAATAATTAAACATATATAAGAAAGTATGATGTTATAGCAAATGGAATAAACTGGCTGTATTGGAACAGTCAAACACACAAATTTAAAATCTGTTTTGGGGGATAAATCAGTAATTGCTTCAGTAACATTTTAAGTTATGCAAATACTAAGAAATGTAATGAAATCTATGTTTTCTCAGTCTGCAGGCCTTGAGTCAACTCATCTTCCTTTGAACTAATAAATAAATTGGGTCAATCAAATAAGAATTCACCAAGTTACTGTAATGAATTAACTGTATTTTATACGGCTCCCATTTTGTTTTCTCATTTTATTCTAAAGCCAGGGACATTTGTATCTGACACCCAAAGGAGATTTCTTGGATGAATGTGTTGTATTTTGGGGGAAAAAAAAGATTCAGTAATTCTAACTTAGCTGGTGCTGCTTTAAAAGGTGAGAGCATACACACACCTTCCCCATACACTTTGAGCACTCCTGTTATTTTACTTTCTTTAGACACATATTAATAGGAATTGTCACAGGTGGCTCTTTTATTTGCAATTTAACAGTGTGTGCAATGGCAAAGCTATATATGGTTTTTAGATGAGTAGGCACGCTTTGCAATAGAAGACTGAATATATTTAATTTAACACAGCCTTAAAATCAAACTTGCTTTCAGAGCAACAACACTAAAGAGAAGACAAGTGCTTGTCATGGCAAATGTGCAGCCTCAGGATTAGAAATGGAATGTTCACCAGCATCACAAAGTGGGTATTTTCCTTATTTCAATAAAAAATGAGAGAAAGGACTATTCCACATTAGAGCAACTGTGATCACTGTTGAAACTAAACCTCCTGAATCTCTTTGCTGCCATCGCTGTAACACATAAGGGAGCTGAAATAAGTAATTCCGATTTTGCTGCCTGTCCTACAAGCTTTTTCTCCCTAAAAGAGGCAGAATATCAGGCCTAAAACTAAGGGAACACATAGTAAAGAGGTTTGCTCCCTGTGAGCAAAGCAGGGCAGGTTTTTTCCTTCCGGTACCACAGAGCAAAAATTTTTTACCTCCCGCATTAGCAACTAAGGCAATGACAGATTTTCCATATCCTACTCTCTTGTGAAGACAAACAAGGCATTCAGCCTCTTAAAAAAAAAAAAAGGTCTGAAAGGCAGGAGAGAAAAACCCGCTACTTGGCACTGAGAGAGTCTTTTTAGGTAACACTTCTGTGGAGCCAATCCTGAAATCCTTGTTCATTCTTTTCAAATATCCTTAAATACAACAAGGATTATCAAGTCCTCAAAAAGAAACAAACAGTGTCCTGATGACCTTTTATTTTTTTTTTTTTTAATTGCGAAAGCAAGTTATTTCCCAGGTTGCAGAGTTTAAAATTGCAAAGGCAAATAAACTGGAGATATTTTTGGTTTCACAAGTTTTTCAGCCACCTGTGTGTGGACAGCCAGGACAAGCAAAAAGCCATTAAAGAACTAATTTTTCTCTCAGGGCCTCCCCTGCATCCCAGGTAATCCCCTACACTCTGTGCAGAAAAAGAGTGTCCAAAATGAAAACTCACCCCAGAGTGAGAATTAGGTGATGTATAAGTTTAATATGTCAAGTATAACTTTCAATAAAGGTATTAAATTTATCCAACATGTCATTTTCTTGATAATACTTTGCATGTTAATCGGTTTATTTGAACCCCTTGATACAAAAGAACAATTTCAGGGCAAACCCAGAAGGAAACTGCAAAATTTCCACCATCAACGCTTGTGTTGTCAAAGGTTTTAAAGGTAAAACCCAGAACTTACAAAGTGGCTGCAAACCTGCTTTCAACACCTCACATGCCAAACTTGGGGTTCTACTTTTCTTCTTCTTGTATTACTGATGTCATGTCAAAAACTTTTTCCAAAAACTTTAGTTTCAAATCAGTATCAATCCACTATTCAGAAATAAAACGAAAAAAATTAAAAATAATTTTAAAATTAAAAAAAAATTAAAAAAAAAATAAAAAAAGAAAGAAAGAAAAGAGACTTATGAAGAAGTCTGAAAACAAGACCGACCTATACCCTGGGTGAGATTGGATGGGTTAAGTGTCTCTGGCACTATTTGTCTTCACTATTGACAGACACTGTCACACAACCCACCACTCGATGCCTGTCTCTGAATGGCGAAGCTAGAATGCAAGTTAAGTGTATTAATAGAGAAAAAAACTAGCATCCCAGCAAATATCATAAAGCAATCCAATTCACCAGTTATTAAACACACTCAGATTCAAGATAGGTAGGTTAATTTAATTTACATTAAGCCCCACAGTGTAAATTCCCCTTTACATTCCCATGCTGACCCAAGCAGTGTATTTATTATACTTTGGGTAAATACATCAATCAATGGTTTTGTTATAAATTACTCCCGTTATTCAATTAACACTCGAGTTTAGGTATCTAAGGAGAACTTTTGTTAGTGGCTCACACACACCAATTCCATGGATCTTAGATCCTTCCCACTCAATGCTAAAAGGCTGATTCCAAGCAAGCAGAACTCTGGGAATATCAGCTGCTCTCCAAGCTCTACCTGTCACTCATCAGCTCCCTCCCCAACTGTATCCCATATGAGGAAGTCAGGACTGATGGATCTGGTAAAGAACCTCAATTTAAGAAACAGACTATTTTATCTTTTAAATACAGGGTTGGTTTTTTTTCCTATGAAATTCAGAACTCCTCGTGGCCTTCACAACACCTTCAGTACTGCTACAGCACAGAGGTGCCCAAATAGGACTGTTCTTGCCCCTCACTGTCTTGGTTTTCAACTATTTCTTAAGGAACAGGGAATTTTTTTTTCACGAAGTAGTTCTCAAGACTTTCTGACCTAATAATGCCATTTAATGCAAGAAATTACAAAAAAACCTCTCGGAACAATGTAACAACTTGTGTTTGATTGAGCAGTTCTGGAAAACTGGGTTTGCTGACTATATGAAATGCAGGAAGACTGAAAATTATCTTAATTTCAGAAGAAGATATGAACTAGGCTGATACAGTCCTTTATACGGAATTCTAAGGAAGGTCATGGAGTAGGAATGCACTCAACGTACAGACAGCTCCACACAACCAGAACGTTCCAACTGAATTGCAGATAACAAGTCTAAAGAGTTTCCACAAAATCGAAACAGAAAGCAAAACATTTTCTTTGGCATTTCCCAGCCATGAGTTGTCACCAGGAGACACTTTAGCATGATGAAGGAACCTTTTCACTCCCCTGAGCTGAACTGAATCACAGACCCACCTCTCCTGACCATGTCCGTAGGCTCCACCTCGGCTCTTTTGGGACACGGTCCTTCCAGGACAAACACTTAAACCAATGCACAGCACCAGGAAGATGAGCTTTGAACAAACATTAAGGTCTGCTTGACATTCCTGCTGTAAGAGAGAAGTATCTGACCCATGGCCGAAGCTGAAGACAGAAATCCCTGGAAGACATCCTCCTAGGAAATGACAGGAAGGCATTTCCAACTGGGAGGGTGGTGGGAAGAGGAAAGGAAAAGCCTACAAAGAAATGGAAGTTTTTACAGGCATTGGAGACCAACTACAAAGAAGAGTATTTTTTTCTGCTCATTTGTTTACAACGAGCAATCACAAGGCCGGGATAACAGAACTGGTACCAGCACTGAGATCCCCTTTGAAATCTCTGGTCATTATCTCTGTATCAACAGGAAAAACTGACTAATGACACCAGGAAGGATGATAAATGGACAAAATATTTTCATTAAAAATAAAAATGAAGAGGCCTGGCTCTAGCCACTCTGGGAAAACCAAATCAAAACAAACCCATCTCCATTTTGAGGCTTTATTAGAATCCTTAGTTTGAGAATGATGAAAAAGCCTTATTTTGGCAGCAGAAAACATGAGCCTTTAGCATCCAGTGTCCACTCCAGAGATGATGCAGGTATCTTTATCCATATCTCTACAGTAGCAACTGAGAAGTAAAGCCTTATTTTCCTAATTAAAATGACCAAAAATGCTAATGACAATACTGCAGTAACAACTCTGATCAAAAAAGCCAATTACATCTGTTTGGAACAAGCAGATTGTCCCTTTAATTAAGAAGATGCATAAAAAGAAGCATGGAATTGATGAATAAAAGGCAAAGCTTCATCATTTACCTAATATTCTCCAAGGATACAACCACAGATGTTTGGGAGTCAGGAAATCTCACTACATCACAGATTAACTGTATCCCAATATGAAAAATGGAAAAAAAAGAAAAAAAGAGATCAGTAAATACATTTCAGTGGCATAAAATCTGTTCCCCATTTTGCTACAGTAAGAACACCAATCTGGAGAATTCCACAGGAGATTAGGAACTGGAAACTAGAGAGCAATGTAAAAAATATGGAAATATGGCTTTGTGGGAAATGAAGAGCAGCTCGAGAGATCAACAAACTGAAGCAGCTTATTCCAAGATTTGCTGCAAGAACAAGGGATGAGAAGCAGGAAAGGGAGGTTCTGTAACAGTTCACTGAGGTTCAGAAGGTTTGAGCATTCCTGGTACTGGAGATAAAAGATGGAAAAGTAATAACTGTTTAAAGAATATGGTCAAAAATACTCCTGATCATCCCCAAAACACAAGAATCAGGTGTTACCTACCAGTCCTTTATGAAAGGATTTAAATTAGCAGAGTGAATTTTAAGCGTTTGGAGGTTCCATGTGTCTTGATCAACACCCAAAAATTGTTCAACCTTTCAGAACCACCTGAAGAGACTCAAACATCCCTCCTTGCAAGCGGAGCTCGCAAACACTCTGCAGAAGCATCAGGAAAGCTTCAGGCACATTTATTTCATGTAAGAGATCTCCAGGCACAGCTTACGATGACATTTCTCAGCATGACACCCTCATGCAATTCAAGAGTCTGGAAGATGATTCATATTTAATGTGTTTATGGCGCTGCACCAGGCAAAATCCTCCTTTTCCTGTCCCCTGAACAAAGACACTTGTAATTCAAGTAGTGAGCACAGAGAACGGCTTCCAGAGGTAAAAGCAGATCCTTTCCCTCCCTTCTGCTTTCCAGAAGAACGACAGAACTAAAAGCTTGAGACAGCAGCTCAAAATCCCAGAGTTCTAAGAAATTACACTTGCCTGTTTGATACTCAGAGAGTGGGTAACACCTCTTTTGTCTGGATTAATGAATAGGAGATACACATCTATTAACAAATTAATGAAAATCCAATCAGCAACATCGCATTTTCATACTCTTACAACTGTTCTGTAAATCACAAAACAAATTTTCAAGTGGAAGAAGAACCAGAAGTCTGTCCCTGCGAGGTCATCACTGCTAAAAGCAGCCCATCCTGCTCCTCCAAAAAAACCAGGATTTCACTGCAGCAGTATTTCTCACCTATAATGTGATTTATATGGGCCAAAACCCCAAAGTAAGGTGACAGAAAAGCCTCGAGTAAGCTGAATTTCAGCCAGATATTGCCTTACTCTGTGTTTTGGGAAGCAAAGAACAAACTGTGTTAACTACTACAGGAATAGTAAAAAGTTCTCACCACTTTGGATCATTCCCTGTCACAGAATCCTCTCAGTATCCAGAGTAATCATATCTGGAAGTGATTTCTACACACACTGCAGCCTGCAGTTCCAATTAGCCTTTTCTTTCTTTTCTTTTAAAAATGACTAAATGAGATTACCTACAACACTGTGGAGACTGAACTATCATTTCCCTCTCATTTCCCAAAAAAAAGAGGTCTTAGAGCAAATTAAGAGCTGACAAAAAATTAAAACCAGAAAGACTTACACAAGACAAGGGAAATATTTCAGATACAGAACACCAGGTTGCCAAAGTCCTTCCTCCTCACCCTGCTCCTGTATAGTGTCAGCTCCTCAAAAATCTGCCTACAGTCTAAAAATAAGCACTTGATGTATGCAAATGAATAGTCACTCTTGAAATATGAATGTAAAATATATAATTCTTTCCCTGTATAATCACTAGGCATGCACAACAGGCTGATTTTCCTGTTAAGAAATCAGAGCCCAGCCCAGTCAGACCTCTTGTTACTACTCTAGACATGGTGACAGCGCTTGAAAATGCGGTGGCAACTTTTCAAAGACACTGAAGAAATGCTAAAGCAATGAAGAAAATAGGGAAACACCCTTTTATCTACAAACATGGTACAGCTACAGCAAGAACACAGCACAAAACTGCCACGTTCAAAGTCGCCCTCACTTAGTGGGCAGTGTCATCAGCACTGAAAACAGAACCAGTCTTTGCTCTGTCTGGGGTTTTGTCAGCTTGGCTGGGGGTTCTAATCACAATTTTAACACTTTGGAGAAGTGTAGTTGCTTGTGCTTAATGCTTACGATCCAGATTTTAATGCACCCAGGAACTTCACAGGCTCCAAAGTCCCTCTCCAGCTCTCAATTTAGCATCAGCTCAGTCTTTGTGAACCAGCATGGTCTCTGACATTGAAAAGTGCTTGTGGGAGAATGAACAGGTCTCCTTTCAGGGTTAATAAAACACCTCAACACTAATTTTTGCATTTTTTTTTTCTTGTGCTGCAGTTTAACCCAAACACACCAAATTCATTCTTACTTAGTTTTTTTAAAGGGGCTGGACTGGCTGTTAGCAGACACTAAATACCTGGAGGTAACAGACATTTAGTTCCATTCAAGTTTTTAAGTCTTTTCTGTTAGATACAGAATTAATTAGCAGTTCAGGTCTGTCTGTGGATTTATAGTGTAACAGGGTTTGTGGGGTTTTTTCTTCACTTGTTTTTAAGGCAGATGTTTCTACAAGATTTGGTTGCTGCTGTCTGCGAACCAAACCCATCATTAAACATCTTGGTTTTAGAAATATACACCCAAGTTACTTTTTTAGTAAGTGATATAAAAACATCAAATCCTTTCAATATAATAAATCCATGAAATTCTTTCAATGACCAAGTTCCACTGTGCACAGTTAAATCCACAGGTTATCTCAGGAGAGGTCTGGCAAAACATGAATGGTGAGCAGTGCTGTAAAGTTTCTCTGACAAGTCTACAACCACTTCAGGTTCTGATCAGGATTCCTGGACCATGCAAATCTGGGAAACACTCTCACACAAACATTTAATGCATATGAACTCAGAGAGAGAGAGAGAGGAAAAGGAATAATGCAGCTATCTGAATCCTCATCTTAAAAACAGACATTTTGCTCTCAAGAAACAATTTCAGGCCAATTGGGAAAGTGGAACGTGACCTTGTAAGAAATACGGGGATCAAATTATGAAAAAAAAGCCAATGGAGAAAGATGCACCTATAGGGAGCATAATGGTATTTTTTTCCTCAATGCACAGATATTTACTAATATATACAAGATAATGAGAAGAATTCCAGATGCAAACGAGCACTGAGGCTATAATCTCAAATCAGATCTTTGTCCTTAAAATCTCACTTTTTTGTGTTTAATGAAGACCAATGAGAGTCTTTATAGTCTAAAACATGGCTGGGAGTAAGAGAAAGATGAAGATTAAACGGTCACGCCTTATTTTTACATATTGTCAATTAGGAAAAAAACTGAACTGACCAGTTTACAGCAGTTCCAGCTGACATACAATATATCCTCATGTATCTGAGAATTTTGTAACACATCACACTAGGGCTGTGTGTGAAAGGAGTTTAAAAACTACACTTCCTCAGGCCTCAAAGGAAAACATGACCTTTTTTCCTCCTTAGCTTTTGGTAAAAGCTTCATTGCCCAAAATGTCATCTCCCATTCCATTTTTATCTTAACTAGAATCCACTTTTACTAAGCATTCTGCCTTAGCTCCAAACAGGGATTTATCCCTTCGGGAGACAGAGTGCATTCTAGGAGTTAAGAGCCTGTGTGGCATCACAGAGCAGCACAACAGAGAATTTATTTCTTATGAAGATGTATATAAAAAATCACAGCAACCATTTACATAAAAGACTTGGTAATTTTGATCACCCAGTTTAACTGTATCACCTAAATCCTCCTAGAATGAACTCTGTTACTTCTCCACAAGCTCTTTTTTTACACTCAAAACTTTGCCAGCACTGTTCATGTTGGCCAGAACGTTACAAACCTTAAGAAAACATCAGAATAAAGGAGAATCCTTACCAGCAGCAACTACAGCTGGAGGCGGCGAACCTGCCTCGCCACCGCTTGTTTGGCTCATGGATGCTATGGATGTTTCTCTGGAAGGTGGTAACTGCAGCTCCTTTGGGAGAAGGTCATAGACAGATTCTGTTGAATAAAAAGGATTTAATCAAAAAGTTATTTGCGTTCAGTACAAGGAAATAAATAATGTTGTTGCCTAAAAGATACGAACCATAACCCAACCCCTTCAGAACCTTTGGGGAAAGATATGTTAAGCGCTTGGAAATCTTAACAGTGTGGAAAACAAGTTATTTCAGAAAACAAACAAACATTAGGGCACACATTCTCAAGACCGAGACAAAGGACACCAACTTGTTCAAACAAAGAAATAATTCATGAACTTCCACAGAAACTGTTGCCATCCAGAACAAAGAGGCTGAGGGCATGTACAGCACATCACGTGAGAATCAGAGACAAACCTGCTCTCAGAATTCCAACTGTGCACTGGACTTCCAAAGGAAAAACGCCTAATTTAGCACCATCATCCCCAGAATAGCCTATAAAGTCTTAGAATCCCAGAATGGTTTGGGTTGGAAGGGACCTCAAAGCTCATCCTGTCCTACCCCCTGCCACAGGCAGGGGCACCTTCCACTATCCCAGGTTGCTCCAAGCCCCGTCCAACCCGGCCTTGGAAACTTCCAGGGATGGGGCAGTCATAGCTTCTCTGGGCAACCTGTGCCAGGGCCTCCCCACCCTCCCAGGGAAGGATTTCTTCCCAACAACCCATCTAACACTGCCCTACTTCTCCTTTATAGGAAATTCTTATAGATATTATTTAGGTGCTTGAGACAGATAAGGAAAACTCAATTTTTGAAGGCTTTTTTTCCCCTTATGAAGTAACAATTGTACTCAATTTACTTTTACTAAAATATATTGCAATGTAAAATAAAATGTGAAGTAAAAACAGCAATGCTGTAAAAATTAGAAAAGCCACAGAGTTGACTAAAAAGCTTTAACTCCATTAGGAGGTAAAAGATGAGACACAAGACAAAGCCCAGGCAGACACATACCCAGCAACACTTGTTCAGACTTTTGCTCCTGTTTTACTATGAGGAGCAGCTGCATTAGCATTTCCTCAGAGATGAGTGCAGTAGTTTGTACAACCCCTTGTAAATGAGCCCCAGCCTTTACTCGGGCTGGCAATGGCACTACAACCCGCAGGAGTAAAATCACAGGCAGGTGATACTCAAAATGTTCAGTGAGAGGCCCCAAAATAAGGGATTGCAACAGTGTGTGTGTATATGTAACTAAAGAAACCTTTATATTTTGTATATAAACTGAATATATATATATATATATATATATATATATATATATATATATATATACTTCCATTTCTTTCTCCTCAAGAAATCCTCTTTGAGAAGCAAGTTGCTCATCACCATCATTCTGTCATGACTCATAAAATATTCGGTGTTGATTACAAAAGCTCCTTTCCAAATCCCAAGTTACTAGGTAATTGTAAGCTTTTCTCTTTGGGGTGGTTCTTGGGGATTTTTTTTTTTAAGAAATTTATTTTTAACTCTCCAACTGACGAAAGCTCTGTCAAGCTTTTTGCTTTAAAGGGATGCTCAGATCCGAAACACCCACAGAATAATTTTCCTCAGGGAACACATGATTTTTGCAGTAATCCACAATTCTAATCTTTGTGAGCAATTCCAACAATATGATAAAGAGGGAGGGAAGGAAAAGCCAGTATTAGAACTGAAGCACATTCCCAAAGATCACAAGACCATTAAGAGCAAATCTTTAATTTCATGCTTCATTGATAAACACCAAGTTGCTCGAAACATGGACTAAACTACAACACCCAGCTTTTACCCTCATACATGTGGAGAGCACAGCTAAAGCTGGAGCTGAGCCCTACACCTGCACAAGAGGCTGGAACTAACCTTGGGAGCTGTGAATACAAGAGGATGGTACAAGTTCTTAGGAAGGAAATGTAGGTCTCCTTGGTAACACATGAGAAGGAAAAGGGATCAAAACCATGGGATTAAAGACAGCATGGGGAAGACATGGAGTTGGTGGAGCAAGTCCATGGAGACGCTCCGAGGGTTGGAGCCCCTCTGCTCTGGAGCCAGGCTGGGAGAGCTGGGAATGTCCAGCCTAGAGAAGAGAAGGCTCCAGAGAGGCCTTAGAACCCCTTCCAATGCCTGAAGGGGCTCCAAGAGAGCTGGAGAGGGACTTGGGACAAGGGCCTGGAGTGACACGGCAATGGGGAATGGCTTCCCACTGCCAGAGAGTAGGATTAAATAGGAAGAAATTCTTCCCTGTGAGGGTTATGAGGCCCTGGCACAGGTTGCCCAGAGAAGTTGTGGCTGCCCCATCCCTGGGAGTGTCCAAGGCCAGGTTGGACGGAGCTTGGAGCAACCTGGAATAGTGGAAAGTGTCCCTGCCCATGGCAGGGGGTGGAATGAGATGAGCTTTAAGGTCTCTTCCAACCCAAACTATTCCATGAATCTGTGAACAAATAACAGAAGCTTATGGCCAAATCCAAACTTTCAGAAGAAAAACAACTCTCCCGGTTTTTCTCAGAACAGATGCAGCTTCACAGCCTAAAACACATCTTTACTGAACCGTTTTTCAACACTTCCCTGAGGAATCCCAAGTGCCTGGGTACCTTTAAGAACTCTTGCTGCCACAAACCCGCTCTACACACATCAGACTTCAAATGAAACTTTGTGTTTTCACCTAAACACAGGCCAATGTTTATATATGCTGCACTATAAATAGCATTAAAGCAAAAACTGACAAATTCCAGAAACATGAGAGTTGTTGCAAGGAAACTAATTCTTCCCCAGAGGATACAGCTCCCTCCCTGCCTGACACTGGATTTAAAAGCTGAAGCCATTGCTGAGCTCCCCTCCATCACCACGTTTTACACACGTGTGCACACACACCAACACTATGTGAAACTTCCTGCTGTAACTTTACGTTGATTCATGCGGAAAACACCCACTAAAGGGAAAGGCTGCTATGGAAATGCAGTATTACACTGAAAAGCAAAAATAGTATTTCAGTATCATTGCATACTTCTACATAATTAGCAAGGAAAAAAAAAAGGCATAGACAGAATTCCTGCTTTCAGCAGCCAGTGCTGAATCAACGAGGGAAGTTTCAGCTGCCTGACAGCACTAAGTGTCTTGTAATTTATTGCTGATTTAAATTCCCCTGACGAATAGATTAGTTGAGCTCAAGTTTATGGGTTTTTTTTTCTGGAAGTAGCTCCACTTATACTCAGTGTCTTCCCTAAACACATTTTCTTTCTCCACAAAGGAATCAAGGAACACGTGTTTCAGGATTAGTGTTATTATGAAATACAAACAAGATAACAAAACACTAATAATCAGCCAGGAGTCCCACACACTCATTTCCCCACACAAGCCCTCACGTGCACTTAGGTAATCAGTTATTAGACATCCTATCTACAGTAAACTTCCAAATCTCCTATCTTCCCTCAAATTATCTCACTTAGACAAGCCCAGCTTTGCAAATTCTGCTCCTGAACTCAAGGACACATGGGGACAGCAGATTTACAAAAAGTATTTTAAGTGTCAAATTTCTTCAACTGCCCTTTATCCGATTATCCTGCCCCTATAATCTCCCATCTGAGATCAGCTGCTTGGAACTTTGATCTTCCAGCCAGTTACACTGACAGTCCAGAAAATTCTATTTCACATGGTTATATGGACCAGAACTGCACCAAACATCGGATCAGGATCCAACACCACAGCACCTGACATCTGAGGAAGACAAGATTTTGTTGTGTACTGCTTGAACCTGCACAAAACATTCAGAATTTATATATTAACAAAAAATAATCAAGAAATTTTAGGAAGAAATTCTTCCCTGTGAGGGTGGGGAGGCCCTGGCACAGGTTGCCCAGAGAAGCTGTGGCTGCCCCATCCCTGAAAGTGTCCAAGGCCAGGTTGGACAGGGCTTGAAGCAACATGGGATACTGGAAGGTGTCCCTGCCCATGGGAAGAGGTGGGACAAGATGAGCTTTAATTCCTTTCCAATCCAAACCATTCCCCAAATCCCTGAAATCGGTTCATTTTAAGTTAAAACAACTGCACAAAAGGTGTCTGTGGCAGGGCCAGACACATGGCCATCCATCCACACAAAATATATCCTCGGGTCAACATGGATCTGGCTCAGTCCCAGCAGCTGGTGACAGAAACTCTGTCTTTGAGGGAGAGAGGAGAGGCCTTGGAAAGATTTAAGAAAAATAATGCTGAGAAGGTAATAGAAACAGCAGGTGAGGCTGATGTGGTGATACTGCAATGGGAGAGCAAAAGGTCAGTGGTTTATGATGGCAAAGTTATACAGGGTCTCCTGTTTTACTCAATTCCCCTTAGTGCACACACACAGTTGAACTCAGGGGGGAATGTTTCTGGATTTCTACACACAGCCTAACCAGGCTGAGTTACAGACATCTGGGCCCACAGCAAAATCCGAGTGTTTCAGCCTTCCCTCATCCCCACCAGCACTGAAATTCCTACCCCATCCTCATAGCGTAACAGGACCTTTCAGAAACACACCACACCTTGTGACCTGCAACATCACATTTCCCCTCACTAATTAGCATGCTGTGATTCCATTTAAACTTTCTTTTTAGGAACAGAGCAGTTAAGCTTTCAGGAGCAAAGGGAACATGACACAACTGCTTCCTGTTTGGGGTGCTGAGACAACTGTAAGATTCTACGAGGAGTCTGCAGCTTGGACATGTCCCAAAGAGTAGGGATTCCCACCATGGAGAGTACTCTCACTCCTAACAGAAAACCTGCATTACAGCAAACCACATACACAAGGATTCACCATTCCCTCACACGCAGCACCTGAGAGATTCTTCTGAGCCACCCACCTGTCGTGACTCCTCAATGACTCTCTGCTTGCCTCTACACAGAAATTTCAGCTGTACAGATTAAAAACTGTGATTTCTAGTAATTCAGTGCCCCGTTATCTTGTGCTGCAGTAGGACTAGAACTGGTTCAGGGCGTTACAGAACTTGTCTGTCTTCAAACT